TTCACCAAAGGTCTTCATCATGTGCGGCATAATGATTTGTGTGACAAGTTGGGCATGATTGACATCTATGCTCCAACTTGAGGGGGAGTGTTGAAATAATTGATTTTATTTTGTTAGGGTCTGTTTGGTTGATTAAAGCCTTTATTTTAATCTGTTATTGTAACTTTACTTAGTAGGGGCACAAGGGTCATTTCCCTTCTTATTTTTTTGCCCTATATATTATAATGAAGCTGGCGCCGCCAGCACTGTTCCATTGCCTCTAATCCTTCTCCTTTCTTCCTTCTTCTCTTCTCTTCTCTTCTCCTCTCTCCTCTTATGCCGTAATCTTCAATCGGATTTACTGTCAAGAAAGAATATAAAAGTTTTTTATAACACGCTATAGAAAACTACTTGGCGATAAGGCGAGGCGAGCCTCCAAGGGCACCTTGTTGCCTAGGCAAACCGCCTAGGCGTCGCCTTGACAACTATGTTTGGGAAGAAAAAAATTTGAGGATCTTTGATAACAAAGAAAGAAGTAAAGAAGCTGTAATTGAAGTGATAACTCTAAGGGTGGCACATTGGGTGAAAACACTAARTTTATTTGATGATTTTAAGATAGAAGACTTTTTCATGTCTTGGGGAACAATTGCAAGCACTGCATCTAGGAAATCTATTGTGATTGCATCATGGTCCCCTTCGGATGCTGGGTGGAAGAAACTAAATTTTGATGGCAGCTGTTTTGGAAATCCGGGGCCATCGGGCATTGGTGTGGTAATAAGGGGAGAGAATGAAAATATGATAGCCATGTTCTCTGGTCCTATTTAGCAAGGTGATGTAGTGAGCACAGAAATGAAGGTGGCAGTGTTTGGTGTTGAAAAAGCCAAAGAAATGGGGATTGGTAGATTGATTGTTGAAGGGGACTCAAAAGCTGTGGTAAAGTGACTGAAGAAAGGGGAGGGAATAATTTGGCAGTAATGAGTTCAGGTGCTTCAAACAGGCTTCTAAAGACATGATGATTCAAATAAGGTGGATTAGAAGATCAGCTAACACTATGGCTGATAGTCTAGCTAAGCAAGGAGTTGAAAGACAATCTATGTTTTGGGCTATATTATAGCTAGGAGGATGTTTCTGTCGGGTTACCTCTTGGGCTGTGTTGTAATTAAAGGGATTTGTTTGGGTTTGATTGGGGCTTTGATTTAGTGGACAAAGTGGAATGCTTGTGCGCCACAACTTCTTGTTGTACTTGAATTTCTAATTAACGAATTTTCTGTGTTACTGATCAGAAAAAAGAAAAAAAAGATAAATATTGGAGTCTTAGGGCCTGTTCGTTTCCTCTCAACTCTTATCAACTTTAATTTAGTGAATGATGATGGAGTTATGAGTTCCTTCCCCAACTTACAAATTGCCTCCACAACTCTTTTGAAATGGATGTTTATAGTCCAAGTGGAGTGTTGGAAACGTCCAACCATTATATGGTTCCTCTCATTTTGACCAATTGCCATTAGGAAGAACGCAAGCTTCAACTGTTGTATTACGTATGTTCTTTAACAGTCCATGTATTCTAAGGAGGTTGGCAAAGTTTTTGTGAACTTGGAGTTCCATCCTAAAACTTTCATAGCATCTATCTGGATTCTCAAGGTCATTTAAAATTTCATTCCACATATAAGTATGACCCCTAAGTGTAGATATTTTACATGGTTATTTGGTCAGAGCACTGCCAAACCCATATGTTTCTAACAACATAGGGAATACGGCCATTGCGATTACTTCCTCATTAGATGAGGAAGAATTGGAATCACCTTTTGAATCTGCAGAAGAACCCATGTATAGTGAAGACAACAAGTATTGCAAATACATCTATCAAAACAACAACATTTTCAAAGTTTAACAAGTACCATAACAAGAAAAGATAATCCAAAAAGTTGAAGAACAAAACATTTCCATCAAAGCAACATCATTTTATCCGAAAGTTCAAACTAAGTCCAAAGCTACCAATCTCCTATCCAAAAACAAGTATGTATCAAGGGACTAAATACCTATAAACCTACTATAAAAAAACAGATAGTCCAAAGCAAAAGCAAACTAAGTCCAAGTCAAACACAACTGTCTAATAAGCCATGAAGAAAACAAAATCAAGCACTTGGTGATTTGTTGCCCAATAAGCCATGAAGCCAATAAACACAACTGTAAGTGGATTTGGAGGTTCGGCTCTGAAAGAGATGCATGGTGGAGGTCTCTGATTGTTGCTAAATATGGTGTGGATTGGGGTAACTGGAGGTCTTTGGACCCTTTTCATACATGGGGCTGTTCCTTGTGGAAAGCTATTATGAGAAAATTCCCCTCCTTTTCAGAAGGTTTGGAATATAAGGTAGGTCTTTCCTAACCTCTTTGTGCCTATCCCCTGATGCATCAGTATTTGACTCCTTTGAATGGGAGGAGGGAAATGTGGTTTGGTGCCCCCTCTTTAGAAGGAATCTCTATGATTGGGAACTGGAGCAACTGTTGGAGCTACTAAAACTATTGCAGAATCAGCAAGTTTCTGTTGAAGTGGATGATGAGTGGAAGTGGAAATGGAGTGGTGATGGGTGTTCACAGTCAATCTATGGCTGAGAAGCTGAGTCAAGGAGCTAATATGGGGTTCTCTAGCAAGCAGATCTGGGTCTCTACCTGGCCCTTGATAAATGTGTCTAGATCCAATTTGTGCAAGCGTGAGGTTCAGATCCCTGACCTGTACTGTAGCATTTGTGGACTGGTTCTTGAAACTAGTGACTATCTATGTATTCATTGCCCTCTTTCTGCTAAGTTATGGGAGCATTTCATCAAATCAGCAGACATCAGCTGGGTTATGCCTTGATCTGTAAAGGCGTGGCGTTGCTGTGTGGTTGGAAGCTTCCTCATCTGAGAAAGAAAGGGATGTTGGCCTGGAAAACAATTCCTGCAGCTGTCCTGGTCACGATCTGGCCTGAAAGGAACAGTCGTGTCTTCTGCAACAGAAGTAGAGCTCCTGAAGATCTGCTCAAGGTGGCGGTTAATAGGCTTGCTTCTTGGCTATCTGTAATTTCAGAATTTAAAAATCAGAATGTCTTTCAGCTCCTGGAATCCCACCATTTGGGGTTTGTAATGTAGTAGTTCTCCTGGTGTTTTCTCACCAGGTTGCTGTTGTACTGTAATTTTCCATCATCAATAAATCTTTTTACTTTACCTTCTCAAAAAAAAAAAAAATTCTTTGTTGGTCGCCAGTGTGAGGGCGTTGATGGTCATCAATGCAAGAGATAGAGGAAATTGATGATTGCTTTTGGTACAGCCTTGGATCATTGCTGCAAATGATGTTTGCCGGTGTGAGGGAGATGATGGTCACCTCCACCATAGTACTGGGTTGCTGTTGAGAGTAAACCCCTAGGGAAATCATTGAATGGGAGTAGGTTATAAAAATGCCTTTTTTTACTGTTTTTATTTCTTTTATTGTTTTATTGTTTTATTTAATTTTAAATGACCCACGAACTTCTTCCTGGGTCAAATGATTTAATGGTTCAATCGTCTAGGTCAGTAGTTCTTTTACCATTTCAAAAGAAGGGGAGCCAAAAACAAAGGTCCAAAATTTGATATTTTTGTTGGAAAATCATTGGGTTTGTTCTTCTTGGGAGGTGAAGCTTTTGCTAGAAGGGATTTTGAGGAGTTTGAAAAGAGGAGGAAGGAAGAGTATCTTAAGAATTTCTCAATGGGGGAGAAATTTAGAATGAGGAAGGAGGGGTGGAAGATTGTTTTGTTTCTGAGGAATAAGTGTTCCTGCAGAAATATTTGAGTGTAGCTTTTCTGAAAATTAGATTATCTCTTGAGGTGTTTTCTTGTGTTTTGTATTTTATCTGTTTGGTTGATGTTTGTTTTATGGTGTTCCTTGTGGTTGGTGCTATCTTAGCACTGATGGTGGCTGTATCATGCTCTTCGTTTTCTTTAATAAATTTTGCTTTTCCTTATAAAAAAGGTGTAATTGTAGTTGATGGTAGTTTTCTTTCATTTCTTTTCTTTACTTTATCTTGCAAGAGTGAACATGGCCAATAACTTGTTCTTATGCTTTCTAAGAGATTTGCCAGTCATGCCAGCCAATGATTATTATCTTGTCCATTATATATAGACAAGTTTTACATCTATATGTTATGTCTTCAGGCTGAGTTGTGCCAAAATGGAAGCTGTACCATTCGAATTCATAGATACTGTATAAGGAAGAAATTCTCTCAGAAAAGGGTATCCGTCTTATGCATACCTGTTGTCTTATTTTTAAGCCATTAGCTTGTGTTGTAAACTGCTTAAATTTGCAATTTCAATAATCTACAGGCTGAAAGAGTTTGTCCAGGATGTGGTGCTGCATGGAAGAATCTGGTGTCTAATGTGGATGGAGTGGAGGAGGTTCATGAGGAGATTGGACYAACTCAAAGTGAACCATCTTCTTCAGGACCTTCAATGCAAAAGAGGCTAAGAAGCTGCAAAAGAGAAGAGACAGATACTGTTGGAGCAGGCCTTTCTCAAACTACCTCATGTGCCACTGATATGAGGAGGACAACTCGAAGTTCTTCCCGTCAAAGGTAAATATGTTTGTCTGCTATTTTTTTACTATGAATTTTAGTGTAGTCTACTTGCCTTGTGTTTCATGTTGCATTGACAAGCTTTTTTGGGATATTGTCTTAATGAGATTCGATCATATCCCATTTAGAAGTGCCACCCAAATTAATTTTCTCTAGACGCTTTAAAATAAGGAGGTTACTGAACTATGGAAAATGAAAGCATGTTTCGGTATTCAGACGATGTGGTTTGGTCTATCATGCTTTGGGGGTTTAGAGCTGCATACAGCTATAAATCTGGTCCAGAGATGCATAAAAGGTAGGTTGGGTTGAATTTATGGTCAACCCAATTCAAACCTTTAGGAATTCAAGTATTGGGGATGAATCAGGCCTGGTTGGGTTGGTATCACTAAGTATACGAAACAGGTAAAAGAAAGAAATATGATGGCGAATCCAGAACAATCACCCAATCACAAAGCAAAATTTTAAATTACTATATCCAACTTTTGTTATCTTTACYTTCACATGCATCTCTTCCAGTTTAATACAAGTTACTCCTAGTGTTCTTAACAAGTATAGATTCCCCTCTGGTTTTTGAAATTGATTACATATGTAGCAAGATGTGATATATATAAGCAAGGAGAAAAAAGGGGAGAAAAATAGAGAAGAAAATAGTATGGAGGCTAGGGCCATGTTTGGTTAAACTCTCATTCTTTCTCATTTGTTCCAATAATAAAGTTCTAGAATGGACAAAAATAGGTGAAATGAGTAGAATGACAAAGTGCTGCTACGAACAAACACTTTTTTCTTTTACAAAAAATGAATTCTTTTTGTGGCAAGAAAGAGAATAAATTTTGGACATGTTTGGTTACAGATTTAATTTTCATTCATTTTTTTCGTCAACCAAAATAATAATATAGGTATACCTATCATACTCGTTAAAAAATATATAGCGGAACCATGCATTAGAGTTCATTTTGGGAAACTTGGTGTGAAAGGATAATCCCCCTTCCCATTAGAAGTATCCCTATTTATTGAAGGAGAGAAGGGTTTGTATGTGCATGGAATAAGAGATTCCAAAATTTTCCTAAAATTGTTATTTTCTTAGATGCCCATGTTTATTTGATGGGGAAACGGTTTGGATTGTAGAGTGGGGACCAGTTAGTTTGGGACCACAACTACTACTTCCTCTATGGTCTTATCACGTGTTGCATGCAGAGCATATTTGCAGATTTTGCACAATTGTATGACATCTTTTCTTTTTTATTTACATGTTTTTGTGCTCATGTTTTTATACAATGGTTGTCTTCCCATGTATTTTGTTGAGGAACCATGATTATCTTATAGGGAAGAAATGGTCGTAGCTGTCTCTTGGTATTACCATGACAATATATGAGCCCATTGTCTTACATTAGCCCCTTGCTCAATAAAGGGATTGTTTGTTATTGAGCAATAAATTGGATTTGGTCTTGTTACTTTGATATAAACACATTAGTCCCCAAAATTATGAAGAATTTTAAGAAAAAAATTATCCTTCAAAATTTTGAGGAATTTTTATGAAAGAAATTAAAAAAAGAAAATAGCCCTAAAATTTTGAGGAATTTTAAGAAAGAAATTAGCCTCTAGAATTCCGAAGAATTTTAAGAAAGGAATTAGCTCTTAGAATTTCTGAGGTATTTTAAGAAAGAAATTAGCCTCCAGAATTCCGAGGATTTTTTGAAAAAGGAAATTAGCCCTTAGAATTTCAAAGAATTTTAAGTAAAAACTAGCCCCCAGAATTGTGGGGAGTCCCATAGACGTATGTATTGCCTTGAGTGAATTCCCCTTTGTTATGGTGAGAATTTTGAACTGTCAATCCAAACTTAATGGGCAAGCTATTGTTTCTTTTATTGCTATGTGAATGGTTGTGATTAGTCTTTTCTATTACCGTGACAATACATGAGTCCATCCTCTATCTAAAATTTTGTATTTTACAAATTTACCCTCAAATCATTATAATAACAATAACAATAATAAAAGTAGTTATTTAAATAATGTAATATTTTAATAAAATAATAAAAAATTTAAAATTATTAAAAAATATTAAAATGGCAAAGTATTAAAAATGATTAAAATGCTGTTATTATTAATGAAAATGAAGACAAAATGTTAGAATTATTATATTTAATCAAAATTAGGAAAATGGTGAAAATGATTAAAATGCTTATATTAATGAATAAATGATATAATCTGTATTTCATAAATTATATACTTTTTTGATAAATGAAATAGTCCATAATTCATAAGTTGCATTTGTATTTCGTAAATTGTATGTGAAACAATATGTTTTTGTCTAACTTTAATTTTAATAGGAAACAATAAAAACATATTTATAAAAATCAATAAAAACATATTATTTTTTCATTTACACAACAGAAACCACAACAATATAATCATAGAAAATGACAATAAAAACATGTTTAGTTTCTTATTTCATACATGTAAGTTCATGATACCAATGTCATGATAACCATTATTTTTTGTGGCAAATGTAAACAACCCAAATCACATGAACAAGAGCAACAAAATACTTTCAAACAATTTTGATTCATCCATAATGAAAAAAATTATAAAATGAAAACAATAATAACAAAAATTGAAGGAAGACACACCTTTGTCAAGAAGTAATGGTATAGATGTTGGATAGAAGACCATTTTAGAGAGGAAACCCTAGTTCGCGTTGCTATAGGTAGGAAAATGTTGTCCAGGTAGCCTAACCCAAGGGGGGGGGGGGGGGGGGTGAATTGGGTTCTAAAAGGTTACCTCAACTATTGCCTTGCCAAAACAGAAATAATATAGAGCAATAATATGAAACGCTGTGTGATAAAGATAGCAATATGTAGAATGAATATTGACAAGTTTAAAGAACTGTTTCAAAGAATCAAAAGAACATAAGATTTATAGAAGTTTGGCCAACCTAAGCTTACCACTAAATCAGTTGGGACTTTCTAGGTGCTAGCGAAGCTTTTTATTGTAGTTGAATTGTTAGACAATGCATGCCCTTAGCTCCAATTAGACTTATGTCTACTAAGATTGAATTAATAAAATCAATTCATTATTGTTTAATGTTGGTTTAGAATGTTCTCAATCATTGGATAAACTTGGGGAGTTTATCCTAACAAGTCTAACACTGATGTACTATTGAAATGGTGGAGCAACTTGTCTCAGTGTTGGGGTTAAACCCTAAATATAGTTAGTGGGTGTTTATAAGAAACGCTAAACATGAACCAAATTTCAGTTATGCATTTGACCTTGGAGATAGACAAAAACTAGAAAATTGCACTTGGCCTTGTATTTGATATATTGTACTAAGTTTTGGGTTGGGTTGTTTTTGACATGCAAATTAGTGAGATCCTCTTGGGATCAAAATACCTAGGTATGTTGGAGTAGTTCAGGATACTAAATGAGTAGGTGATCATTGTGAGAGGATTAACCTTTTTGTCAGACAAAGAATATCAAGGTTAACTCTCTCTTTGATGGAAACCTAAACTATCGGCAGTGGATTTCATCTATTTCTAAAAATTTCTTTGCAAAATGTATTTATATTTATAATATGTTATTTTATGAAAAAGGCTTTGCAAAAGGTTTTAATCTTGTGATAATAGAGGGTGTGACACTAAATTTAGCAGTCAGGAATTGAATAACACAGAGGTAAGAGGCATCGGGGGAGCGGAGGAGATGGGGTGCGAGGGCTTCGTACTTGCAAGGAGTTGGAGAAGATCCACCAAGGTGGAGAGCAAAGAGTTTTTAATGGAAGAGATATTTCATCAGAATGAGTTCATAGTGAAGATTAGAGAAGGAAAAAGAGGGATGCTCTTTTTGGTACAAAGTTCTCTTTTGGTTTCAAAGTTTTCTTGATGGCGTAACCAATGTAAGTTGGACTACGGGGTGGAAAGATACTCAGAACCTTAAGGAAAGAGTATGTTGTAGAACGAAAGAGAAACTTAAAAGGTTGGTTTTTGAAATTAGAAGAAAGACTTGAAAAAGGAAAAGAAAAACATGATTGTCATACCTGAGGACAAGAGTCTGGGATGCTGGATAAAAGTAGCAAATGAGATACACCAAGTTGTGGCAAGAAACTGGACTAAGGCAGCGCAGGAACAAACAAAGAAGCCTATTGTGGAGGAAACAACAACGAAAAGGAAAGAGGGTTTGAAAGAGCGGGGAAAGATCCTAGAGAAATTGGGATTGAACAAGAGAAAGAAAAACTGAAGCTGTGTTAGTCATAGTTCTCAAGGCGTCACTTAGGCGCCCGCCTAGGCGACAAAAATGACAAGGCTGGCGCCTTTTATAATATCATTTATATTGCTGTATCTTATTAATGTTTTATTATATGCTATATATATATCAATTATACTTTGTTTTAATGTTTTACTATTGAAATTTAAAAGATCAAAGGGTTTTGAGAAGATAAAAAGAAAGAAAGAAAGAAAAGAAAGAGGAAAGAAAGAATAGAATAATAAAGTTATTTTTTCTATTCTCTCTCTCTAATTAAATAAAACAGAAACTCCTTCCTTGTTTTTTTTCTATTTTACTTTCTATCTTGAATATTTATCTTATAAAGTTGATAACCATCTTTAGCTGCTAACTAATATGAATTTTCTCTATTAAATACTTATTATAGTAGTATTATTTTTGAAAATAATGAAATTAATATAAGTAAAAGATTTTTATCTTTTAGATGTGATGATTTGCCACATTTTTAGAGGAAATTTAATGTTCTTAATAAAGAGAATTGCTATTTTTTCAATTAACATACATGCTGAATGGTATATAAAACTTGGAAACTAGCCAAAAGTCTGATTTTTTATATTATAAAATTTTTATCGCCTAGGCGACTAGGCGCCCCAGTGTCGCCCAGAATCGCCTAGACGCCTTGAAAACTATGGTGTTGGTTGCACTCTTTGCATCTATACCAAAACTCTTGGTAGATGGGGAGAGAGGGGATTGGGAACAAAAACTAATATTATCAACAAAGAATGTAG